GCAATATTCGATAATAGCCATTGTGATAGCCGATGGTAGTTGGGTTATTACGTCACAGATATCTCACAATTACACACACATATGATTGGGATTATTAACAGTTGAAAATCAAGGGGAACTTGCAAGATTTTTATCGTAAAAGGAAATTTGGGTGTGATTAATAGATTTCTTCGTCATTTTAATTTTAATTACTTCATGAAAGCTTGTTTCGTGAGAAATGTAATCATGTAGTAAACAATTACCACTTGTACGTTTAAGGAAAATGGAGACGTTATCATTGTTATCACTCCTCAGCATGTGAAAAAGTATCCTCTCAAATCTATAAATTCTCTGAAAAATATCACTCTTCGCTACTTTTTTTTTTTTGTTATAAAGAAAAACAGAGCCCTTTAGTATCAACAATTATTAATTTAGTATTATTCACTAAAAAGTATGGATAAAACCGAAGCTCCAAGGGTGCTCTCAGGTACGTGTACAGTAAGTAAACAATCTAATAGATTTTCTCTTTATTGTTTCTAAATAATTCCTGTTCATCATAACAGAAATTTGTAGAGAGCTCCTTTCTTATGACGAAGCAAACTATAGACACGTTCTTGATACTTATTTTTCTAGCGATGCGGCATTATCTCATCCTCTCTTGAATGTTGTGGGACCGGCCAACATTCTTAAAGTTTTCCGCGTTTGGACTTCTTTAAATGCTCAAGAGCCTACTTTAGAGGAAACACCAATTTTTGAGTGAGTATTAATCATTTTTTCTATTCTTCTAAACAATTATATATCATTCGTTTACTTGATAATGTTTTTTGTGAGGAAGTTCTAAATTTTATATCAACCTTGTCACATAATATTAGTGGATACACCGCTGTGTTGAAAGTAAATCAACATTTACGTCCTCGAGTTTTACCTTTTATCCACATTAAAGTACCTTCCGTCACAACCTTGACATTTTTCCAAGCAGATGATGGATTGCTTTATATTTCTAATCAGAAAGATGATTGGACCCTTGAAGGTCTCATTCAAAGTGTTCCCTTGGTCAACTGGTGGTATAATCACGTAGTTCGTAAAGTTTTGAGTGGTCTTTTTACGCAAGCTGGATCTTTTCTTGCATCTGCAAATCATGCAACCTCTCAACTACGCGAGAACAGTCATGTGGCCATTAA